GGAAAAAAAAAAAAAAAAAAAAAAAAAAAAAAAAAAAAAAAAAAAAAAAATTGGCAAAGGAAGTGCATAGACATTTCTCAAAAGAAGACATATAAATGGCCAACAGATATATGAAAAAATGCTCAACATCACTAATCATTAGGGAAAGACAAATTAAAACCACAATGAGATAGCACTTCTGTATTAGTCCGTTTTGGGTTGCTATAACAGAATACCTGAAACTGGGTAATTTATAAAGAAAGAGGTTTATTTGGCTTACAATTCTGGGACGATTCTGGGACGGTTGCATCTGGCACAGGCCTCAGGCTGCTTCTACTCATGGCAGAAAGTGGCAGGCAGCCAGCAGGTACAAGCCAATCACATGGCGAGAGGAAGCGAGAGAGAGAGAGAGAGAGAGAGAGAGAGAGAGAGAGAGAGAGAGAGAGAGAGAGAGAGAGGAGGTGCCAGGGTCCGATAAACAACAAGCTCTCGTGGGACCTAATAGAGTGAGAACTCACTGACTACCCCTCCTCCCCCAGGGAGAGCATTAATCCATTCACTAGGGATCCGCCCCCATGACTCAATCAGTTTCTAACACTGCTACACTGGAGATCAAATTTCCACATGAGTATTGGAGGGGACAACACATCCAAACTCCATCAACCTCACACCTGTCAGAATGGCTATTATTAAAATGTTGAAAGCTAACTGCTGGTGAGGATGTGGAGAAAGGGGAATCTGTATACACTGTTGGTAGGAATGTAAATTAGTACAGCCTTATGGAAAACAGTATGGAGGTTCCTCAAAATATTAAAAATAGAAATACCATATGATTCAGCAATCCCACATGTGGATATATATCCAAAGTATGTGAAATCAGTATGTCAAAGAGATATCTATACTCCCATGTTTACTGCAGCATTATTTACAATAGCCACGTTATGGAATCAATCTAGGTATCTATCAGTGGATGAATGAATAAGGAAAATGTGGTATATATACACAATGAATTACTATTCAGCCTTTAAAAAGAGGGAAATTCTGTCATTTGCGACATGTATGAACCTGGAGGACATTAGGCTAGTTGAAATAAACCAAGCACAGAAAGACAAATACTGCATGTTCTCACTGACACGTAGAGTCTAAAACAATTGAACTTATAGAAGCAGAGAGTAAAACTGTGGTTATCAGAGGCTGAGGGCTGGGGGGAATGGGTAGATGTTGGTCAAAGGGTATAATGTTTCAGTTAGACAAGAGGAATAAAGGATAAGTATTTGAGGTGATGGAATGTTAATTAGCTTGATTTAATCAATCCACGTTGTATACATATATGATAGAATCACTTTCCACTCCATAAATACGTACAATAATAATTTGTCAATATTCAATTTAAAAAAACAGAACAGAGTCCAGAAATAGATCCCACAAATATGGCCAACTGATTTTTTACAAAACTGTAAAAACAATTCAATGGAGGAAAGCTAGTCCTTTCAACAAATGGGGTTAGAACAATTGGAAATCCAAATGTAAAATAATGAACCTCGACCTAATCCTCATATCTTATACAAAAATCAATGCAAAATGGATCATAGGTCTAAATGTAAAACCTAAAACTATAAAGCTTAAAGAAGAAATAGGAGAAAATCTTCATGGCCTAGGGTTAGGCAAAGAGTTCTCAGACATGACATCAAAAACACAATTCATAAAATAAATGATCTGTAAATGGGACATTGTCAAAATTAAAAACTCTTGCTCTGCTAAAAAAGTTGATCTCATAGAAGTAAAGAGTAGAACAGTGGTTACTAGAGACTGGTGGGGGGAAGGGGAGATGGGGAGAGGATAAAAAATATTAGAGATAGAATGGGATCTAGGGTTCTATAGGAATATAGGGAGACTACAGTTAACAACAAAGTACTGCGTATCTTTGACTAGCTAGTCAAGATGATGTTGAATGTTCCTAACACAAAGAAGTGACAAATGTTTGAGGTGATGGATATACTAAGCACCCTGATATGATCACTGCATACAGTATGAATGTCCCAAATATCATACTGTACTCCATAAATATATACAATTACCACGGGTCAATTAAGAAAAATAAATTAAAAACAGAGAAATAGAGAGTAGAATAGTGGTTACCAGAGGCGGGGAATGGGAGTGGGGAGGGGACTGGGGCAAGGTTGGCAGACTAGTACAAAGTTACAAAGTTACATAGGAAGAATAAATTCTAGGTCCCTAGGGTAACAATAGCTAATAATATTGTATTGTATATTTCAAGATATCCAGAAAAAGAGGATCCTGAGTGTTATAACCACAAAGAAATGATAAATGTTTAGGTGACAGATATGCTAACTATCTTGATTAGATCACTAAACAATATATGCATGTATTGAAACAGTAAACTGTACCCCATAACACGTACAATGAAAAAAATAATAAATTAAAATTAAAAATTGTTGCTCTGCAAACAACACTGTTAAGATAATGAAAGGACAAGGCACACACTTGGAGAAAATATTTTATAAATTTATAAAGAACTCTCAAAACGCAACAGTAAGAAAATAATCCAATTTTAAAATGGGCAGAAACTTCTGACCAGACACTTCATCAAAGAAGATATACGAAAAGTAAATAAGCTTATGTAAAGACGCTCAACATCTTTAGTCATTAGGGAAATGCAAATTATAACAGATATTAAATGAGGTATCACTATATACCTGCTATAATGACAAAAATAAAAAGCACTGATAATACCAAGTGCTGACAAAAATGTGAAGCAACTGCAACTCTAATACATTGCCGGTGGAAATGAAAAATGGTTCAACCTCTCTGGGAAACAATTTGGCAGATTATTAAAAAGTTAAACATACCCTTACCATGTGACCCAGCAATCCAATCAGAAATGAAAACTCTAGAGAAATAAAAACATATGTTCACACAAAAACCTGTGTATGGATGTTTAAAGTAGCTCTACTTATAACTGTCAAAAACTGGAAAAAACCCAAATGTCGTTCAACAGGTGAATGGATAAATGAGCCATGGTACATCTAATTTATGGACTACCACTCAGCAATAAAAAGGAAAGAACTATCAATGCACACAACAACTTAGATTAATCTTCAGGGAACTGTGCTGAAGTGAAAAAAAATCCAATCCCAAAAGGTAACATACTGTATGATTCCATTTATACCACATTCTTAAAATGACAAAATTCCAAACATGGAGAACAGAGTAGTAGTTGGCAGGAGTCTAAGGATGGGTATGAAGGGGGAAGGGTGGTGGATGTGGCTATAAAAGGGCAACTTGAGGGATCTTTGCAGTCATGGAATTATTCTGTGCTTGACCATATAAATATCAATATCCTGATTTCCATATTATACTAGAGTGTTGCAAGATGTTATCATTGGGGGAAACTAAGGAAAGGGCACACAGGATTTCTCTGTATTATTCTTACAATCACATGTAAATAAATCATCTCAAAAGGAAAGGTTTAACTTTTAAAAACGGTTACATAATATATACAACCTCACTTATAAGACATTTTTTTCGTGAAAAGATAAAATTATAGTGACACAGAACAGATCTGTGGTTGCCTGAGGTTATAGGTAAGAGGAAAATCACTTGAAAGACAGGTAAGTTCCACAGGAGATTTTATTTCCAAATTACATTTTGACATGATGTCTCCAGCTCACTGAGGAATGCTGCAGGAAATACAGACACATGTCACTTAACAACAGGGATATGTTCTGAGAAGTACATAATTGGGCAGTATCATCATTGTGGAAATATCATAGAGTGTACCTACACAATCGGAAATATCAGAGAGTGTACTTACACAATCGGAAATATCAGAGGGTGTACTTACACAATCTTACAAACGTAGGCTATACAGTACAGCCATTACAATTTTATGGGACCACCACTGTATATGCGGTCCATCATTAACCGAAACATTTTTATGCAGTGCACGACTATCTGCAGGAAACCAGGAACTGCATTTATCATCAGGCTGTGGTTGAAGACAATTCCATTACCCACATGAAGACCTGGCAAAGAAGTGCTTTGAAACGCAATTCCAGGCAACTCTGACTTCCCCTGAGGACTCTGTACTCTCTGCTGATGACTAAGGTGAGCCAGGATACTGGTTACATTTCCCTTTGGCTGCCAGGAACCTCAAAGGGAAACTGGCAGCTCAACTTTAATATCTCTTCCACCCTAAGTCCTCCAAAGCATCTGCATTCTAATTTGGCCTCTCATTTTCCCTGATCCTCATCCTTATTTACAAATAATTTCCTATTTTATGGCAGAGATTCCTACATATCTCATTACATCCACAGTAAAAGAGAGAAAGGAAGAGACAGACAACATACTTACCTGGAGTTTGGCCATTTCCTGCTCTTCCTGGGAAAAAGCAGAGATGTGTGAAGGCTGAGCTGGAACTTCTGGAAAAGAGAAGAGCATACGAAAGATCCCATCAGGCATTCAGTTCCTAGAATTATCTGCCTAGAAATCCCCTCACACACCAGCCGGTCATGAGGCTGCTCTATGCAAGTATTTGTGCAAACATGAGGTTTTAACACCGACCTGTGTATTCTTGACTCTTTTCCTCATGTGAACCTTGTATGCAAAATGGTTCATGTATATTAAGTCGCATACTGACCCATTAAATGTCTTTCTAGGTATTTTCCTTAATGAAATAATTTATCATAACGTATACTAATTTCTCAGTAGGTACCTTCATATCAGGATTAACTTTAATAATGTCCAATTTAAATGATCCAAGTGTACCCGTGATAAAGGGTTAGTAATACAGAAATAAAAGGGATGAAGTGCTACACAGCTGTTAAAAATGTTACATGGAACTGTGCACATTATCTTTGTACTCTGTGGTACACATATCTCAAAAGTTTTTAAGGGCCGGCCTTGTGGCGCACTGGAGAGTGCGCCGCTTGGGAGTGTGGCGGCGCTCCCGCCAAGGGTTCGGATCCAATGTGGAGACCGGTTCCCACTCACTGGCTGAGCACGGTGCGGGCGCAACACCGAGGGATGCGATCCCGTTACCGGTCAGTAAAAAAGACAAAAAAAAAAAGTTTTTAAGATGGTATAGAAAAAAATTTACGCTTGGGCCAACCCCGTGGCGCACTCAGGAGAGTGCGGCGCTGAGAGCGCTGCAGCACTCCTGCCGTGGGTTCGGATCCTATATAAGGATGGCCGGCGCTCTCACTGGCTGAGCGCGATGCGGCCGGTCACAAAAAAGACAAAAAAAAAAAAAAAAAAAAAAAAAAAATAAGAAGTTTAGGGTAATCCAGCATAAATTTTTTTCTATACCATCTTACAAACTTTTGAGATATGTGTACCACAGAGTACAAAGATAATGTGCACAGTTCCATGTAACATTTTTAACAGCTGTGTAGCACTTCATCCCTTATATTTCTGTATTACTAACCTTTTATCACGGGTACACTTGGATCATTTAAATTGGACATTATTAAAGTTAATCCAGATATGAAGGTACCTACGGAGAAATTACGATACGTTATGATAAATTATTTCATTAAGGAAAATACCTAGAAAGACATTTAATGGGTCAGTATGTGACTTAATATACCTGAAGCATTTTGTGTACAAGGTTCACATGAGGAAAAGAGTCAAGAATACACAGGTCGGTGTTAAAACCTCATGTTTGCACAAACTCTTGCAGAGAGCGGCCTCATGACCCGGTGGTGTGTGAGGGGATTTCTAGGCAGATAATTCTAGGAACTGAATGCCTGATGGGATCTTTCATATGCTCTTCTCTTCT